GCTATTATAATCAAGGATTATCTAAGTGTGATCTCTTGAAATTATTCATAAAATGAAAAGTTTGTATAAATAACTAGCTTATAAACTCGTAGTGGTATGAGAACAATTGTAAGAAAGCCTATCTACAGAACTGTAAAAATAAATAAGTAAATGAAATAGCAATACTGAGAAAATAAAATTCTGGGAAGATTTTTTTCAACACATTTCTAAACATAATAGTTTTAATAGCTAATTTCTAATAACTGATTTATTTTATCTTTTCCATGATGACAATAAATAATATTTGACTAGATATTTTTCAAGACACTTCTATACAGCTTAAAGTGACATTTAAAGGCTTAACTAGGTTAATTAGGATAACTAGGCAGGTTAGGGTAATTAGTCAAGTTATTGTATAACGATAGTTTATTTTGTAAACTATTTGAAAAAATAAAAACTGCGTTTATTCTAGCTAAAATAAAACAAATAAGACTTTCTCCAGAAGAAAAAGTATTATCAGACATACTGTGAAAATTTCTTTGCTCTGTTAAATATAATTTGAGAATTATTTAAAAAAAGAAAAAAGGGGGTTAATTATTCTGATTTCAACTATATGATAATGTTGATGTACTTGTTCTTGGTGGAATAGATCTGCTACACTTCTGCTGCTTCTTTGATTATCATGGCAGAGCGATTACAAAAACTTACTACAGCCATAGAAAGTTGTAAATAAACAAAGCTGCTATTTTGAAAATTTTATTCTGAGAAATAAAATCCGAATTATGTGAAAACCTAAAAATTGTGAGCTTGACGATAGCCTGGAAACTTACAATTGTGTGAAACAAACTCAAAATTAGGAAGTGGAAATGCAAAATAAAAGACAGGAATTGATAAATAAAAACAGAATTGTGAAAATAAGAGCCTGAATTGCAAGATACAATATCAAAACTCATAACTGCAAGCCATAAAGTTTTAATTCTCCAAAACAAAATTGGAAAAATTTGGAAAATACAAAGTTGAAAGATAATTGTCAATTACCCTCTTTTTCATTTTGTAGTGAGGGGAAGAGTTCTGAGGGCCATTTCGTTCTAAGGGGCCTCAAACAATATTGTTTGAACCATTTTGACTTTTAAAACAATATAAAGGAAATAAAATGCAGTGCTGATAAACAGAACATTATCATGCCTTATTGTGGATGCTAATAGCTAATTGTATCAAAAGTTAAACCAAAGTTCAAATCAAATAGAAACCGTCTGCTTGTCAGCGCTGCTCTGCTGAAGTAATAATGTGAGAAATGAGGATTAAGGAATTACAATAATACATTCTGCTGAAGTGTCTTGTGGTGTTCATTCTGTGGCTCACGGTCCAGAAACACGCGTCTGCAGGACAAGATAAACACACATTTTACGACACGTCCAGCACTGAACTAATCTGCCCATGCAAATGATGCTATGCATATTAAGAGACCGATAAACAAGCTTAAAGTCAAAATTCACTATCCTGCCAGACGTTTTGGGACATCAGCCTTTACATGCCTCAACTTTAATGACATTCCAATCTTAATCCATAGAGTTTAAAGGAATGTTCATTTTACAAGCCCCCAAGAGTTAAACTGTTGAGTTTTACCATTGTTGAATCAATTCAGCTGATTTACGGCTCCGGCGGAAGCACTTTTAGCTTAGCTTAGCTTAGCATAATTCACTAAATAGAATTAGACCATTAGCATTGCTAACTTACATTGTGTACTTAGACCGATGAAAAATGAATAGCTGCTATATTTGACTTGGAACTATACTCCTATTCCAGCGTAAAAATCAAAGAATTTTGCTGCTAAACCATGGCTGCAGCAGGGGCAACGATATTACGCAGCACCTGAATATGGTCTGCATCTAGGTAACAATGCTGAGTACTACCATCGCCAGCAAAGTACTTTGATTATTACAACATAATGGAAGTATATTTTCTAGACATATTGACCTAGATTATAGCAATTTTTCATATACCGTTGATCTCATTAGGCTACACGATGTCCTACATGCAGTCCAGACCTAAACCTAGAGGGGATTGAGCTTTTTCTGCGGTTGAGCACGTTGGAACAATCTTCTGCTAGAGATTATAGTGACATTTTCCCTATCCATTTTCAAGTCCTTTTTACAAGCTAACTTGTTGGATTCTTCACTCAATAGTTTTTTTTAAATGATTTAGATCAGGGTGTCCACATTCGGTCCTGGAGGGCCGGTGTCCTGCAAAGTCTAGTTCCTTCCCCAATCAGACACACCTGGGCTAGCAAATCAAGCTCTTACTAGGCTTTCTTGAAACATCCATGCAGGTGTGTTGAGGCAAGTTGGAGCTAAAATCTGCAGGACACCTGCCCACCTAGACCGAGTTTGGACACCCCTGAATTAGATGATCTCTTTTGTTCTTTTTAAATGTTGTTTTATCTTCTCCACTTTATGTATTTATGGTTAGATTGTGAGCAGATAAATAAAAGAACTTGAACTTTTTGTGCAACAATATGCATAAGAAAAACATTAAAAAATGAAGTATTTTGTTGTTTGATCTTTGTGTTGCACAATAATCTTGTTTGTGTACTTAAAAGAATAAATAATAAAAGACCGGTGGATTTAACAGTATTCAGGTAACATAGTGATCCTTTTATCATTAAATGAATAATTTTTTTTCTTTTTTTTTCTAGTCAGGTCTTTTTTCTCGTATTTATTTTTAAAGCAGCCTTATTTTGTCTTATATTTGAACCCCTCTTTTTTATATATATATAATTTTTTTGTTGTTGCTGTTGTTTTAAATTAACTATGTGCAGTATAAATGTCCACTGTATGCAATATCCCACAAGTGAAATGTTAACCACGCTCCTCTCAGTATTGGTGTCACAGTAAGGTATAAAATGTGTTGTGTGCCTATAAATTCAGCATGGGACTGGGTATCTCTCTGAGAGTGCTGATGCTACTCTCTGCTGGTTATAGTGTGTTAGTGCGACTTGGTTTTCAATGAAGGACCTTGTTGTTATTCACGTAATATTATACTTTTTACATTCAAAATTAACATTACTCTGTTTCTAAAAGATAATACATCCAGCTGGTTACTTTGTTTTAAATAAATCAGGATCTTGATTATGTTAGCATCTATATGTTGTTTTCTTTTTACTTTAAATATTATTATATATTATCATTATAGTACTATAATATTATATGTACACTGCAAAAAAATAATTTTCTTACTTAGATTTTTAGTCTTCTTTCTAGTCCAAATATCTAAAAGTTCTTAAATCAAGAAGCATTTTCTAGACAAGCAAAACATATAGTCTTGTTTTGAGAAATAATATGCCAGTATTAAGTGAGCTTTTCCTTAAAACAAGCAAAATAGTCTATCAATGGGGTAAGCAAAATAATCTTATGTCAAAAGGAAAAACTACATTATTTTTTGATTGTTTTATCAGATTGTTTAAAACTTTGATTGTTTTATCAGGACTCTGGAATTATTTAGGCTTTATATTGCTATATTAATTAATATCACTTTAGCTTTGGATATTTGTTTGGTGTTACTTTATTTTTACCTTGTCTACTTTAGTTGCCAATGTGACCTTGCTATAAATTTTCCAAAAATTGTTTCAACATCATTTGAAAATTTAGTTTTATAATAGTGTTTCCCCATTACATTAACTGTTTGAACAATATATGCATATAATGAACATTTATTTGATACTTACCATTCCTACATATGTACATCAGTGAAGTTAAAAATCTAGAGCAGCTTAGTGGTTAGCACTTTTGCCTCACAGCAAGAAAGTCGCTGGTTTGAGTCCCGGTGGAGCCAGTTGGTGTTTCTGTGTGGAGTTTGCATGTTCTCCCCATGTTTGCATGGGTTTCTTCCGGGTGCTCCAGTTTCCCCCACGGTCCTAATACATTTGCTTCAGGTGAATTGGATAAACAAAATTGGCATAGTGTGTGAGTGTGTAAATGTGTATGGGTGTTTCCCAGTACTGGATTGCGGCTGGAATGGTATGCGCTAAAATTTATGCTGAAATAGTTGGTGGTTTATTCATCTGAGAAAACCCTTGATAAATAAGGGACTAAGCTGAAGGAAAATGAATGAATGAATGAAAGTTAAAAATCTGATGCTTTGTGAATGGGTTAAAAAGCAATTTTTTTTAATGATTTCAGTGATTTTATGTGTTTAACATTTAGTTGTTTTCATTATTTTTTGGATAAGTAAGATTACAAAAACAAAACAAAACACTAAACAAACAAAACAAAAACAAATGTAACAAAAAAGAAACGAAACAAAATAACACCACCAAACAAACAAAACAAAATGACAAAACACAAAACAAACTAAATGAAACAACAAAAACAGCAAACAAATATAACAAAAAAATTAAAAAACAAACAAACAAACAAACAAAATAAAACAAATTGAAACAAAAACACCAAACAAATGAAATAATAAAACTAAATGAAAAAATGAAACAACACCAAAAAAACTAAATTAGATGAAACAAAAGAAAACATAACACCAAGCTTAACCAAAGACTAAACAAAACATAACATCGAAACAAAGACCTAAACAAAACTTCAAGTCAAACAAAAAGCACCAAACCAAACAAAATACCAAAAACAAAACACCAAATAAAAAATAAATCACCAAAATAAACAAACAAAAAAATAAAACATGTAACACCATGATCCCAATTAGAGGCCTTTGATAAGCCCAGCCAAGCATCAGCAGGACAGCGTGTGACGTTCATAATGTTCAGAACAGGAGAGTTAACATTAGCATCAGTGAAGCCCTAAAGACGAGCTTCCTGCAGATGTTTACCAGACACTAATCTTACAAATGGAGGAAATGTGAGCGCGGTTAAATCTGATTTCGTCTATTACAGGCCCAGGAGCAGGAAACACAGACCTGCACCTCTAGATGACCTGCAGATCTACAGCCACACACACACACGCACACACAAACACACACACACACACAAACACACAAACACACACAACCAAATCAGCTCATTTTCAAAGACTTTTTAATGTTTGGATGAATCAGTACACAGACCCAAGATTGTCGTTTGCGTGTGTGCTATTAAACCCATTGCTTTGGTTTAAATCCCTTCACTGAAGACTGATGCTGGATTCCACATAAAAACACAAACAGAAGCAGAAATGTTTTTAAAAAAGTTGAGATATTCCTCATGGATTCGCTTAAATCAAATAAAAATAAAGTGCCTTATATAAGCTATCGATGAGCTCAGCGCTCAGTCTTCAGCACTGGGTTTAGTGTAAGTCTGCATTATGAAATCATCCTCTATTTTTTTTATGCATAACAGTGGTTGAGATCCATTAGGCACCGCTGAATTAAAGTCCCTTTTCATTAGATATGTACAGTTTGCATCTTACAGAATTGACTACATGGCTCTTGGCTAAAGTTAAAGATTAGATAAAGTGCAGTCGGCATTTGAGAAAAACTAATACAAATAGAACGAGATAGGAGCCGATTGCATGAACTGCACTGACCCAAACTGGAATGTGAATTTTCTAGGTTTTATTCGTCTACTGTTGCTCCATTACTGGAATAAAGTATAAAGTGTCTCAATAAAAGATAAAAATAAAGCTTCTATTAGACGTATATAAATGCATCTTTATTGGATATTTAAGATGCCAAGCATCTCAACATCTTAAATGATAACTTACTTTGCATTGCGCATGTTAACATTTACTGCTCTTATTCTCTGTTGATCAATATGCTTTCTTATCTGTCTTTAGAATAAAAAGTTATTATTATTTATCTAAAAAATTATTTACAGAAATGCACTTTTAGAAGGCGTTCGTTTTTCAGTGCCAGCACTAGAGCTAGGATCTATCAAAATCTATTAAAATTAGTTTTTGCCTCTTAAGTATATAAGTAAATATCTTCTTTCAAACATTATTGTTTTAGAATGAATTATTATTTTTGCATTGAAATATTCCTATTATATATGAAGAATGAATCTATATGTATATGAATTATAATTTATATACTATTATATTTGTGACCATTAAGGCACATTTGTCTCCGAATTGTATATACAAGTTACAGTTGTGCTGGAAAGTTTACACACCTCTTGAAGAATTAGTTAAAATGTGAACAATTTTAACAAAAAAAGAAAGATCAAACAAAATGCATGCTGTTTTATTTAGTACTGTTCTGAGTAAGATAATTTACATAAAAGATGTTAACATTATTAAAATGTAATGCGATTTCCTGATGATCAAAAATTAAGTGTAATTTACCTTGATCTACAGATCCTTAAGGGTTTCACCCCTTTTAATGTCTCCTGTTTCCTTCTGGAGCATCAGTTAGGGTTTAAACCTTTTTTAACAGTAGTGTTCGAGTCCCTCAATCATCCTTTGAGTGAAAATATGAATCTCACAATCATACAGACGATGTTGGAAAGGGTTTAGATCTGCAAAAGATGCTGGAAAACTGAAGAATCTGCAGGAGATTGAGGATTTTTCTGTAGAACAGCAGTCAGTTTAACTGTTCAGAACAAACAAGAGACTCATGAAGAACCATCTCAAGGCAGAAAAACACTCAGAGATCATCAGTAAACCACTAACGGTACTAAAAACCAAGTATGTAAACTTTTGCACGGGGTTATTTTAATAATTTCAGCTATATTGTTGTCTATTGAGCCATATGTAAACATATTTTAAGAACAATATCTTACTCAAAACAGTAGTAAATAAAAATAATAAAAACAGCATGCATTTTGTATAATCTCTCTTATTTTGTTTTAATTATTTACATTTTAAGGGTAATTCTTTAAGGGATATGTAAACTTTTTAGTACACACACGCACGCACACAAATATTTTTTTTTGTGGTTGTTGATATATGAAATCATCACATATTGATTTTTGAACTTCTGAACTTAAAATTGTGTGTTGGGTTGTCTAAAACTGCATTTAAAGATGTATACAAACATGTTTTAATTACAACTATTTTGTTTCAAATGAGTAATTAATAGGAAATCTCATCAGTACTTTACAAGACAAAACTCTTTACTCAAACACATAACCAGGGTGCGAATTCTACACTGATGATCGGGGGTGTTATCTTTTTCAGTAATGTTTGTGTAAAACATCCTTCAGTTAAATGTATTTATTCATTTCAATTACATCTCATTTATTAAAAAACATATTTAACATTTCAGTGTTTTGAGAGATATTTAGTGTATTCTGATGTATAGTATACTCTGATTTGTTATTTCAGAGGTTACTGCAGGTCAAACTATTCAAACTCTGCAGCCATTTTACTTTACTTTTAGGCTGTATGTAGAAACAAACAGCTATCTTACAAGAAAAGTGTCTTTTTAAACACTTACGGTGTCCATCGGTGCTGTAGATCTGCCAGTTTCCGACTTTTCAATGATTTTTCTCTCTCGCATAGACTGATTTTGTGTTCATAATGGTATGAACTGTTATAGGGGTGGTCAAATGTGTGTTTATATTATCTATTATTTTAATGATAAATATTATTTAGAATACAGATCAGAGAAAACTATTTCTCAGTATTTAAAGGACTGACCCACATATTTTGACGGCCTTCATGGAGGATCAATAATTAATTGGGTGGTCAATCTCCCCCAACCCCCCCTGTAATTCGCACCCTGCACATAACTATAAACTGTTAATCCAGAAAAACAGACTTTTTCCATAGCTGTGTATGTAGAAAATCATGTATAGTGAACTAGGTTTTGGGGTGTATAAAATGTGCTTAATTGTCATCTAATGAATCTCAATAACACAAATTATTGTCATTTTGCAACATATAATTATTAGTTTTTCTCTTGATTCAAAGATCATCCCTCTCAGCCTGAGTGTTTGTCTATGTTCTGCAGTGAGTTTCATCTTCCTCCAGCTTCGTGTAAAGCTTGTAAACGGCCTATAACCTGGATGTGAGCAGCGGGACAGGAGCTGGAGGGTCACAGTGAGTCCCGGATTTCAGCGCAGGTGTCACACACTCGCACTGGATGGTCCCAGCCACGGGATGGCACAGCTCTGGTCTTACTAGAGCAGTTTCCACACACACCTTCTCCACATGCCCGGCAGTGGTGTTTAGACATGCTGGGGGTGAAAACTTTAGCACAGCAGTGGCACTGGGTGATCTCATGGTCCGGGACCCAATAGTCCGGTCTCGCAACTCCCTTTATGAAGCCTGTAGACAGCATAACACATTCAATTAAACTTTCCACATTCAGTTTTATTTTATGTACTTTATTAACGTTTTATGACTTTATTTAACGTAATTAACATCACACAAGGAAAACATGTGATATTCATGATGCATAAGTATTATTTTCTCAATTTATTCTTCAATGATTTAAGTTTATCTACACTTCCTGTTTCTTTTGTTTGTACTTATTTTATAGTGCAAAATATAAACGTGCAAAACTTTTTAAAAATGTTTTTGTGCAAAAACATTTTTTTTTTAATGGGAAATACTACACATGGGTTTTTGCTTTCTGGCTGACTATTTTCTTAATTTCTGGCTAAATGACTAAATATGGCAGTTAAATCATTGTACAGTGCATGCGGAAAGTTTTCATAGCGCTTCACTTTTTCCACATTTTTAATATGTTACAGCCTTATTCTAAAATGAATTAAATTCATTTATTTCCTCAAAATTCTACACACAATACCCCATAATGACAATGTAAAAACAGAGGTTTTGAAATTGTTGCAAATTTATTAAAAAATAAAAAACCTGAAAAATCACATGTTCATAAGTACTGACAGCCTTTGCCCAATACTTTGTTGCTGCACCTTTGTGCAATTACAGCCTCAAGTCTTTTTGAATATGATGCCTCAAGCTTAACACACCTGTCTTTGGGAATATATGCACATTCCTCTTTGCAGTACTTCTCAAGCTATATCAGGTTGGGTGGGGAGTGATGGTGTACAGCCATTTTCAGATCTCCCCAGAGATGTTCAAGATTTAGGTCTGGGCTCTGGCTGGGCCACTCAAGGACATTCACCGAGTTAATGTACAGGCAGGCAGTGGCTTCCATCTGGCCACTCTACAGGCCTGATAGGTCCCCTATTGATCACCTCCCTGACTAAGGTCCTTCTTGCCCCGATCACACAGCTTAGATGGCCGGCCAGCTCTAAGAAAACTCCTGGTGGTTCCAAACATCTTCCTATTACGGATGATGGAGACTACTGTGCTCATTGGAACTTTCAGAGCAGCAGAAATGTTTCTGTAACCTTCCCTAGCCTTGTGCTTCAAGACAATCCTGTCTCAGAGGTCTTCAGACAATTCCTTTGTCTTCATGCTTGAATTGTACAAACATACACTTTTAACATACACTGTCAACCCTGGGTCCTTATAGACAGGTGTATGCCTTTTCAAATCATGTTCCATCAACTGAATTTACTACAGGTGAGTTCCAATTAAGCTGCTGAAACATCTCAAGAATGATCAGTGGAAACGGAATGTACCTGAGCTCAATTTAAAGCTTTACGGCAAAGGCTGTGAATACTTATGTTCATGTGATTTTACAGTATTTTTATTTTTTATCAAATTTGCAACAATTTCAAAAACTCTTTTTTCACATTGTCATTATGGGGTATTGTGTGTAGAATTTTGAGGAAATAAATGAATTTAATCTATTTTAGAATAAGGGTGTAACATAAAATGTGGAAAAAGTGAAGCGCTATGAAAACTTTCCGAATGCACTGTATATCAAATATACAGTTGATAAGGCAGTAAAGCAAAATGATTACGCGCACACACACACACACACACACACACACACACACACACACACACACACACACACACACACACACACACACACACATACACATATATGCGAAGGTCAATATTAGTAGTATTAGTCAGACATTTTTTGCTTTCCAGCTTTTAAATTGCACTTAAGCTGAAAGCTCGTATCTTGTAAAATAAATAGTACAATATTATATTATAATAAACTAGTGAAATGGTACTTATCAAACCTAATATTATATTTATTCGACTTGTGCTGTTTTTGTTGACTAAATTTCTGGGCAATGTCTTTGTCAGACAATATAAGTGTATTAGTATCACTCACAGAGCGGATAGTCGACTGCAGTGGACACCATGTCAAGAGTGGACTGGGCCACTTCTGTCACTTTGCGGGCCACTAGTGTCCGGGGTTCAGTACTGGACACTGTAGGGAAGAACAATGCATTGTTTTAGTTCAGCAAACCAGTCAGCATCCAGTAAAGAGACAAAGTCAACTGAACTCTATAACCCTGAGAGAATATTCAATATTGATTTGACAAGGCCAGGCTCTGCACACATGAAGTGTTAAAACAGACAATAAAGCACCTGCTGAACGAGTCAACATTTGTGAAAATACAAACAATAACTCCGCACATGTAACAATCACATGCAGCTCTTTTACACCACTGATACTTATTTATTGTTGGATTGCACAAAATAGAGAAATGGCTCAGTGTTACTGCCATTACAGTGTGACCTGTGATTAATACAACTCTGTTTTATTGTTAGTGAAAGAGGCTTGTGTTGCTTCTTGTAACCAAAGTATGAACACCTACGGTAAAAAAGAGATATTTAAATGAGTCGCTTTCTAGCTTTTAAAAATATTTAAATTCTTATTTTCCCAATAAAAACAACCCAGTCATTTGTTTTATTTGAATTCAGTAATTTATTTTTTTGTTTGTTAATTTTTATTTTATTAAATTGATAACTTTATTCTGCAAAGACACATTCAATTTCTTTACAATGTCTCGAAAAATTCTATTTCAATAAATACTGAAATATTTATAAATATTTCACAGTATTACTGTTGTATTCATAGTTTCAAATTATTCATTAAAGAAATACAGTCTTGGTGAGCATAAGATAAGTTCCTGTCAATAACAAAAATAAAAATCACATGTTCTTGGGTATTTCAATGCATTTCTTATTATTTAATTCATTTTAGTCCTAACATCCTACACAACATCAGAACAGACAAATAAATTTATTAATAATAACAATATTAATAATATAGTGGTATGATTAAAATAAATACACTATTATACTTATATTAATTACATTTATATATTATATTATATATATTATATATTATATATATATATATATATATATATATATATATATATATATATATATATATATATATTATATTATTATATTATATTATTATACATATTATATTATTAATACATCTAAAGCACCGTTCTAAAGAACCTTATAAAAAATTATCTTAAATTAAAAAAAAAACTTGTATAAAGAATTTATCAGGATTCTGCTATTATTCCAATCCTTATTTGGCAGCAAATCTGCTATGGCACAGTGTTTACATGGTTCACCTTAAAAGTGTGTTTTTAAAAAGAGAGCAGTGTCCTCACCCTGTCCGCAGTGCTGTGGTCCCCCCTGCCGGTAACAGGCATCACACACTCGTACAGGGGTGCCGCCCCATCCTCTCTCGGGCACTGGCATGCTGTGAGTGGAGCAGGCCTGACAGAAACCCTGACCACAGGCCCGACAGTGATGCTTCCTCTCCACCTCCTCAAACACTCGCTTACAGCCGTGACACTCCTGAAAGCATAAACAAACTGCTGTTTTTACATGAGAGGCCAAAAGATTTGTCATTGCTTCATAGAGCTTTCATTCAAGTTCTAGGAAGTTTATACAAATTTAAGTGTCCAATTCTGTTTTTTTTTTTTTTTTAACTATAATAATGTTATATGGATGTTTGTGAATCTAAAAGGTCTGCTCAGGTCAAAGTGTATGACAAATACAGTTCTGTAAAATCTACAATCTAATTTTAAATGTTTTTTTTACTAGTGCACAATATTATTATTTAAATGATCAATCAATCTGCAAGTTAATCCACTGAAAAAAAAAAAACTTTGATTTGCTAATCTTAAAAGTTTGAAGACCATTTGCTTGTGCATTTGGAGTGGCTGTTCTTTTCTATTGACATGAGTATGATGTGTCAATCATAATATTCTTAGCCATGCTTATAGTTGAATGATGAGCAAAATGAAAGTCTCCTACTCAATATGCCATTTCAGTTGGAAGTACATCAACAAGTCTCAGCAACTTCTGGTTCACGTGGACTTTAAAAGAAAGAAGAGACTCTGAACTGCCTGAAATTAGTTATCATTTATTCTTGCTTTACCTCCTGCATAATTTAGTGTTCAATTATTGTAGTATTTTGTATTTACACATGCTTTATATAATATATACTTAACTTAAGCAAAAAAGTATTTGTTCAGGTATGTACAGTTAAAGTCAGAATTATTAGCCCCCCTGTTTATTTTTTCCCCAATTTCTGTTTAATGGAGGGAAGATTGTTTCAGCACATTTCTAAGCATAATAGTTTTAAAAACTTCTTTCTAAAAACTGATTTATTTTATCTTTGCCATGATGACAGTAAATAATATTTTACTTGATTTTTTTCAAGACACTTCTATTCAGCTTTAAGTGACATTTAATGGCTTAACTAGGTTAATAAGGTTAACTAGGCAGGTTAGGGTAATTAGGCAAGTTTTTGTATAATGATGGTTTGCTCTGTAGATTATCGATAAAAAAATTAGCATAAAGAGGCTAATAAGTTTGTCCCAAAAATGTTTTTTTTTTTTAAATTAATAACTGCTTTTATTCTATACAAAATAAAACAAATAAGACTTTCTCCAGAAGAAAAAATATTATCAGACATACTGTGAAAATTTCCTTGCTCTGTTAAAAATCATTTGGGAAATTTTAAAAAAAGAAAAAAAAATCAAAAGGGGGCTAATAATTCTGACTTCAACTGTACCTGTTAGTTTCCAGTACTGTTTTTAAAAGTATCGAATTTGCACTGGCTATGGCTGGTCGATTAAATAAAGATTAATTTCGAGAATTTATTTAATGTGCATTTTGTCAGTAAAGCTGGTTGGGTAATCAGTAGTAAATCTCTAGTACAAGATTTAAGATGGAGCAGCATTTACTACACAGAGACATAGTTAACTGACAGAATCACATTCATTATTACAGACGATTTAATCACCTGACAATGAAATCTAAGATACTAATTCTGCCATTTGGGAGCTGTCTGAATGGCTCATTAGTGAACTACGGCTCTGTGCCGTTGCTACATCTGAATGCATGTTAAAGAATTGCATTTAATAACATGTTTTTACTTCAAACTCACTTTATAACTTCAGTTGAGTGTTTGAAATTCAGTGAGATCATTCCATATTCATTTGATTATTAGTCACACTGAATCAATGAAAGCAGTTAAATCTTGTTTATTCAGTAATTGCTGGAGATTCATAAATTCTTTTTCTTTGTTTTTAGAGTTTCAGTTCCTCTGGCTTTTAGAGAAGATTTACTATTGATCACACAACCCTGCACTGAAAAGATGTCAGTGATTTCAACGGTAAAAACTGTAAAACTGCTACATAAAAAAAAAAAAATCCTGTTTAACAGAAAGTTTCCTTAATATATGTGGTGAAAAAACGTAAATAACTTTCCCAGAATTCCCTGCATGACATTTTACTTTTTTAATACTTAACAATTTTACTGACATTACTATGGTTCTTAGGTTTTCCTGCAGTCCTTATGCACTCCTGAGTTTTATGTTACATCTAATGTTAATAAATAAAGTTGATTGCATTATTGCTTTAATTTTATGTGTTACCATGATGGTGTGTATCAGTTGTTTGAATGACACTGAGCAACTTCTATACACTATCTGAAAAAGGTCTTGTCGCCTGTCTAAGTTTTAGAAACAACAAATAATAATTTGACTACTAGCAGATCATTTGGAGTCAAAAGTGGCTTATATGAAAGGCAAAGGCCTCTAGATTACACTTATTTTACCAAAATAAAATATGATCATGCCTTCATTTTGAATTATTTAATTAGGACAGTAAGGTCTGACTTTGCTTAGACAAAAGTCTTGTCATTTAACAGAAATAATGTACAGTATAGATAATATATATATATGATAATATATATATTTATTTATTTATACACACACACACACACACACACACACACACACACACACATATATACATACATATTTTTTATAGTGTGCTTATCTGACAATCTCAGATTGCAGAATTTTATTTTGGTGCTTTTGATCTTGAAAATATGTAAACCCACTATAGGAGATCTCCAAACTTTTAAACTGTGCTCAACTGTGCTATAGGTCTTTCCCATACCACCATAATTGCAGCTCAACAATCTTTCTCTCATATTCCAACCGAGCACATGAACTCACGCTGATTTCAGCATTGGGTTTCCAGTAAGGTGGAGCCACCTGGTCTGTGAGCCACGCAGCGACAGCTTTGGTCGGCCCTGAACTGTATTCTGTCACTGACTGAATAATGTAGTTCATTCCATCCAAAACCCGCTGAGCAGCATTCTGATGGTCAGTCTGGAAGGCATCAGTCTACAAGCACAAACACAACATTAACCACTGTGAGCATCAGCAGACTGAACACATGAACAGAAACACTCACCCCCTGCCAGACGTGCTTGACCTCTGGCCGCACCACACTGCTCTCCGGGTCCTGGTTGCCCATCCAGTACTGTCTGCTGCGGTAGATGATGCCACAGCTTGCACACTCTAAAACGTACCTGAAGAACAAGAGCTGGATGAGGAATGTGTATGAGGAGCAGCTTCATAGACAGCAGAATACAGCATCTCACTCACCCAGACCACGCATACTTGGCCAGACCAAACCACGGGTTGTCTGTGGAGGCAGATGTTTTGGGGATGACAATCACTTCCCTTCCGCCCTCATAGCACTTCTGGAAGGGGCAAAAGAAATGGTTTATGGAGGCTATTAAATCATTCTTTTGATGAAAATTGAGTAGTTTCATCCAAAGTGGACTGCTATTGGAAACATATTAAACTGAAGACATAATTAACTGAGAAAATTACTGGCAAATCAATGTACAGGGCTGGTCTTTATTTTCTACTCAGTTCCACTTTGTGTGAATTAGTGATATGAACAAATGCATGTTTGCAGCATAGCTAATAAATTGGGCAATTACTTTTTTGATAGTATAGCATATTTAAAATAATATGTAAAATAAATTAAACAAACGAGTAAATGATAAAACAAAAAAAAAAATAATTAATTAATTAAGTTAAATAAAATAATAAATCAATAAACAAAAAAATATTTTTTTAAATAAAACACCAAATAAAAAGAAACAAGAATTAAACATAAAAAACTAATATCGTAACTTACCAGTAGCCATTAAATTTCATTATTTTTTATGCTACTATGGATGCCATTGGCTATCGTTTTCTAACATTCTTTAAAATATATTTATTTGTGTTCAACAGAAAAAAACAGCTTTGGAGTAAAACAAAACCACAACAATTTTAAGCAATAATAGAGTAAAAATAATATCATAATAAAGATAAAAAACAAAAAACAAATAAACACATTTTTACAAAAACAAAAATAATAATAATAGTTCAACAATATTTTTATAACTCAAACAGCTTTGGAGTAAAAGTGTACCACAACAAATCTAAGCATAAAAAGTACGAATAATATCATAATCAAGATAAAACAAAAGTAAAACAAATAATAAAAAAATGTACAAACAAAAACTTAAATTTTAACAAACAAAAGACCCAAATGTGTTCAACAGAAAAAAAACTCAAACAGCTTTAGAGCAAAACACTACAAAAACAAATTTAAGCATTAAAAAAGTAAAAATAAAAACAATCACGATAAAACTAAAGTGAAAAAAAAAAAAAAAATTTTACAAACCAAAATAACCAAATTTTAACAAACAAAACACCCAAATGTGTTCAACAGAAAAAAACTAACTCAATCAGCCTTGGAGTAAAACTACACAACAACACATTTAAGCAATACAAAAATTAAAAATAATCACAATCAAAATAAAACTAAAGTCAAACGAACAAAAAAACACAAATTGAAAACACAAGAACAAAATAATGAACTCAATTAACGCTCAAAATAATAATAAAGCTAAAATGAAACAAACAAAAGACCCAAATGTGTTTAACAGAAAAAAAGAATCTCAAACGGCCTTGGAGTAAAACTACACAACAACAAATTTAAGCAATAAAAAAGTTAAAATAATAACAATCAAAATAAAACTAAAGTAAATCAAACTGAAAAAAAAAACACCACACATTATTTACAAAAAAACAAAAAAAAAAAACAAATGTGTTCCACAAAAATAAACTCAAACATCTTTGGAGTAAAACAACATCGCAACAAATTTAAGCATTAAAAAAGTAAAAATAATAACACAATCAAGATAAAATTAAAGTTAACAACAAAGAAAACTAAAACAAATTAAAACTACAAGAATAATGAGCTCAATTATAGCTCAAAATAACATTAAAAACAAAATGAAAAACAAATATGATCTAAATAACAATAATAAAAAAATGCAACAAAACAGCAATCATAACCTTACAGCAGAGAGAAGTCATTACCTTACAGATGAGGACTTTATTGTTGTACTGGTGGGCATATTGGCATAATCCATCAGCCATGTGTGGGACCCCATCTTTCCGGTGGTTCATGCCGTTCTTACACCGAACACTAAAGCCATTGATTTTTGGAGAGGTTAGAAATGCTTTTCTAGTTATAAAGGACTCTTGAACAGTACTGCTCTATTAAGTCACACACACAATAAGCAAAAACAAATGACTCAAGATCTAACCAAATTCAAGTGTGCAGAGAAATCTCTCTTCTACTCATTTGCATGTATTAAATTTACATGCTGAATTAAGATCCAAGTTCTAACTGTGAATTATCAAATTAAAATGTGACTCAAGGCTTGTGGGATGAAAACAGAGTGTGATATTTGACAACGCAGCAATTTCTTTGATTTATGATGTGTCAAACACACTGCATCTGTGTGGAGCATTCAACAAAACCTGCACATTTTAAGGCAAGACACTGCAGGTGAATGGAGTAATAAACAAAACCGTAATAATAGAGCCTTTTTGACAAGTCTGTTGTGACGCGTTTAATGGTCATCAGTATCTTAAATCCCTGAAAGTTTTAAATACATATATATATATATATATATATATATATATATATATATATATATATATATATATATATATATATATATATATTTTTTTTTTTTTTTTTTAATGTATGAATATTTATATGCATTTATGTATGTAGTAAATCATCTTTGCTTCAAATTACAAAAAAAAAAAATGAATTACCGATTATGCGAAGGACAGTACAGTAAATTTGATGTTATTCCCCCCTCTGGCTGCCGTCATCAGTCACACACTATTTGTTTTCCTTTTTCTGAAAGTCTTGATAACACCTTCGTAGAGTTTTTCTTTTATTATTTCAGCAACTAAGATTGTTAAAAAAAATTGTAAATAGTTTTATTCTCCCATACACTGCGCTCTAAGTTTACCCAACTATAATGACTACTACTACTGAGAAACACGGAAATGTGAAAAGGGTCTATCATCATCATCATCATAAATCCCCAGTTGGTTGATTACATTAATAATAATTGCAAACATTTTCTTGTAATATAAGTCAAAATTCTTGTTTAACAATTTGACAGTTTATTTTCAAAATGATTTTTTAAAGGGCATGTAGGGAATCTCTTTTATCACTCCATAATAATATACAAAAACTGCAAATAGACACGGAAAAAGACACATTTTCACACCTTTTTTAGAATAAAAATGTTGTATAAAATCAAGGAAATATCCCATCTGTAAAGACCTTCAGAACATAGATATTAATAAATTCGGTCACACTTTATTTTGATTCCGTTTGTTGAATATAAGTTGCATTGCATCCATGCCAACTAATTCTCATTAGAAGCAGACAGTCTACTAATACTCAAATGAACCAATAAAATAAAGCTTTACCATAAACCCCTTTAAAATAGAGCTGCAGCAAATTGGAAAAATATGCCTTATGTTTCTTAAGAAATAACATTTCCCTAGAAAAATACTATTACTTTTAGCTGTTTTGGAATATTTTAAATATTATTTTAATGATAAAATTACAAAAGTCCAATTCATTTTAAAAACTGTGTCAAGGTCTTTCAAACACTATGAATAATTTAAAAACCTCAGCAGATATTTTGACTCTGATTAGCTGTGGTCATTTTTCTCCATAGATATATACACTACATATTGTATACGGACCCTGAGTATGCGTCAATAGCGCCGCCACATTTGTACAGGACTCCCAGGACAAAAGTCATTCAACCACACAAGTCAAGACCAGTGGTGTGAAGAGTACTAAAAAATCATTCTCAGGTAAAAGTACCACTACTTGCCCAAAAAGTAGAGAGAGTAGAGTAAAAGTATCGGTTCTAAACACTACTCAAAGTATGAGTAAAATGTAGCTCTCATAAAAGTACTCAAGAGTAGTGAGTATTACACTAAAATAATTCCACCTTATATCCAGCAAATTAAAAATGTAGCTTACCTAAGAACCATTTTCTTTTAAGGGTGATTATAAGTATTAGTGATACAATTTCTTTTTCCCCCAACAGTTTTATTTATGACTGCGAGCACTGAACATCCTGGCATGTTATGTTTTAAAATATCAATAATAACAATAAGCAGCCTATAATCAGTTATGATAACCTTTCTACAAAAATATTCTTGCAGGCCAATTTAAAAAAATAAATAAATAAAATGTTGAAAAGAATTGTACATAAACATAAAAGTTGAGCCTGTAGCACAAATTAGGAAATTAAACAAATGAATACAACATGGGTTAACCGACCCCCACAATATGAATGTAGACTTGCAATTTTAAGTGTAGGGGGGAAAAAAACAACAACTAAATTTTAAACGTGTTGTTAAATTTCACAATGAACTGGTTCTCAAAATTTGTACTGTCCAGTCTTGCTCGTTTTGTTGTAAACAGTTGCCCAGCACAACTAAAAAGATGCTTGCATGCTGCAGAAGCAGGCAGGGGTGTGTTTGAGGCTTAGTTTTTTCACCAAAGGAAATGAGTAAAGCAATCCCATCTCTTCTGAGGCACAAGCCGAGTACCCATCCAATTCAGATTCAGTTGGGGATGGAACAGTCTTAATGGAAGAAAAAAAGTAATCCTCGTCAGAAACATCAAGTTGTGCTTCATTTGGATGGGTGCACTTAATGGAATCAAGATGGTGAAGGATGTAGTCCATACCTAAAACACAAATATTAAGAACTACAACAACAGTAGATAATGCAGATAGAAAAACGATGGCATGTTTACTAGCGTGTTTTGTACCAACTACTTGTTGTTGTCAGAGATATTTTACCCTTAACCCTCACCCTTTTAATTTAACAAAAAACAATCGAAAATACTTGTAATATTTTACCTGCTTTTATGATGTAGGTCTTGTCTGTCCATGACGTTTTGAATTTTGGAAGAAGAATTGCAGCACTGATGAGTTCTGTATCTTCCATGAACTCCCCGAAGCACTTTTGTAGACCTTTCCGGAGAGCATGAATAAGGGAAAACATACCTTGACTGAAGTCTCAATCTTTTTGAGCTTGGATTCAAGAAGGTAGATGGTGGGAAGGAGCCACCCCATCTGAGTGTTTGTTTCAGACTGAAGAATGTTTAAAGCCATGGACACAGGCTTCGTCACGATGCAGTATTCAGAGAGGTAAGACATTTCAGCAGGATTTAGCCTATTTCCAGAAAAAAAAAAAATCTGAAATAAAATCACAGAAATACACTGCAAAAAATGCTTTTCTTATTTAGATTTTTTGTCTTGTTTCAAGTCCAAATATCTAAATAGTCTTAAATAAAGGAGAGTTTTCTAGACAAGCAAAACATATTGTCTTGTTTTGAGAAATAAAATGCCAATATTAAGTGAGTTTTTCCTTAATACAAGCAAAATAATCTGCCAATGGGGGAAGCAAAATAATCTTGTTTTTCCTTTTGACATAAGATTATTTTGCTTACCCCATTGGCAGATTATTTTGCTTGTATTAAGGAAAAACTCACTTAATTATGGCATTTTATTTCTCAAACCAAGACAATATGTTTTGCTTGTCTAGAAAATTCTTCTTGTTTTGAGATTTTTTAGACATTTGGACTCAAAACAAGACAAAAAATCTAAGTAAGAAAGGCACTTTTTGCAGTGTACCTTATAGATGACAATAAAAATAATTGGGAGACAAACGGACTTACATTTTGATTTTAAATGATGCACAAATATTCGGAAGGGATGCTTCTCCCTGTTCCTTTAGGATCCGTATTTTCCTCTCTGCAGAATTGTACACCAAGTTCTTGTGCTGTTGGGCTGAATGAACTGTATTTTTTGACTCTTCTTGGACGATCTCAGCATTGATGGCAGACCTGCTGGTTTTATTGTATAATGCCTGGCATTTTGCAAATGTTGAATGTGTAAGCTTCTTGTATACCTCACTGCTGTCCTCTCAATCCTCTGCTTTGAAATCATCCACAGTAGCTACCAAATTAAGAAGATGACATGCGCAATGCTGATGCTTGGTAGATGATACTCTAACCCGTTGTTTGTTTTTAAGATTGAACAGGTGTACTGAACCTCAACAACTTCTCCATCTTCTTTGCTCTCCAGTGTCACTGGCTCCGAGTCAACATCAATCAACTCTTCCTGACTCTTTTTACCATACACCTTAAAAGCTTTAATAAAATTCGACCCACAATCAGTTGTTCTTCTGATAAGGAGCAGGCCTCTTTTCCAGTGTAGACTCATCAATCCAGTGTGCGGTTACACCGATGTAACTCCACTGTCAAGCAGTCCAGCAATCAGTAGTGGTACCTATATGGCTGACCTTTGCCATCTCAGCAATGGCTGCATCCTAAATTCTCAGCTTCACAGTTGGTCTGGACATAACTGTACAGCTAGGCTGCATAGTGTGTATCAGATTTTTGAGTGTTGGAAGTTCAACTATGGTAAACAGATAAGGGCTTTCACAGACAAACGCAACTACAAGCCTGTCAATTGTGGACTAAGAAACCTGCCTGCATGACATGGAATGGTCTTTGATCTTCATCTGTTTTACAGCCGAATCACACTTCTGTTCTTCTCAGCTTTTTCTTTTTAAGATGAGTTCTGTGTACCGCTTTAACTTCAGTGGACGTTTTCTCTGCAAAAAAATTGATTAAAGAATTAAGTAACTGACAGTGTAACCAATAATAAAAAGCCTGAATCATTTAAAAACAAACACGGCTTAAATGTAAAACAGATGAGCACATCCCCTTTTGAAATTGAATGTTTTAAATCAATTTTCAGTGAATACAGACAATATATTTTGGTTCATTTAAACAAAACTATTTTATTAAATTAAGTTATATTAATTATAAGAGTTTGGTCTCATAACTAGGAATATAAAGATAATACATTTAAAATACAAATGAGGTGTTGCAAAAATTTACAAACTACAAAATTGCTTTTTTTAAATAAAAATACAATTCAGTATTGACTGATGTTATGTATATAAACAAATAGGTTATAGCATCCTATAGAAAGTTTACATTTAAAAGAAATCAGCACTCATTTATGCTGGGCATTAAAGATGCACATATAGTTAAAGTGAGAATTATTAGCCCCCTATTAAAATTAAATTATTTTAAAAATATTTCCCAAGTGTTATACAAGTGTTAAATATTTTTAATAAATCATTTCTAATAACTCTTTTTTGTGCTTTGCCATGATGACTGTAAATATTTTACAAATTACTAGTATTCAGCTTGAAGTGCAATTTCAAGGCTTAACAAACTCACGCAACAGGGATGTAATGCAAGCAGTTTGTACATACAGATGTTACTACTTCAATGTGTTCCTTGTGCCGCCATTCATGCCGCGGCGACAGCGGTACTTGATGCGCCAGCAGCATTTGACCGCTGGGTGGCACTTTAACCACAGATATTCAGCTTTGCCTTTTCACAATGCTAAACAGACTGTTCTGTAGGCGTAACTTACTGTATGTGATGTTATGTGTTCAATTAAAATATAATTTTAATTTAGTTTTTCTGGTAATAGACATGCTCTTACACTATACTATGCTGTAGAAAAGATACATGGTGAGAAGTCAAAAAGCAAATATAAGAATTAAGTTATTAGCCTTCAGTGCCCGATTAAATTGCGTTGGGGTGAAAATAATGTTTTGATTTCTTTGACTATCATGGCAATGTTATAATCTCAAATCTTAAACGTGCGCATATGAAAAACAGCAAAATAATATAGATTATCCTGCCGGTAGAGCACATCACCTCACAGTTGTGAACTTGCGATCACCTCAACTTACATTTAAATTTTTTTTACCTGGTTTATTGTAAACTTATTAAGTGCAAGGAGGATTCGTTTTGGAAAATAGAATTGAAGAAATGAAAGACAACTAAAGTGAAAGCATAAACATTCAGTACAAATAAGTAGTCTTAAATAAATAAATAAATAAATAAATAAATAAATAAAGCAGTCTTTTAGTACAAATATAGAGAGATGTAGTGTTTGCTATTTTGATAGAACTAAGACTAGACATGTTCATTTATATTTTTAATTTACGTTTTTATTTACATTTTCGTTGTTGATTATATTTACGATCTCATTTTATGTTTCAATTATAGTACATAATAATAAACGAATAATGAAAATAAATGAATAATGAAAATAGGACATAAATTAAGTCTGGCAGGTTTATTTTTAATAATTTAGTTTCAGTTCCGTTTTTTGTTTCAAAACGTCAATGTTCTGCTTTAAAGTATAACTGTGGTTTTGTTTTGTTTTTTTACTTAATGGCTCAGTATGTTTTGTATTTTAATTTCATATTCAGTCACCTTGCATATGCGTGTGAAATATAATGCCGCATAACCGCGGAAAAAGAAGAAAAGGCTGTCAGTTAAAGCTAATTAATCAAAATTGGCTATATTAAAATACAGCATTTATGTTAATACAGGCAGAGTGTGAACAAACTAAGGCTAAGATATGTGCTTGCCTTTTAATGCATTTAAAAATATTTGCGTCCTTCTTATAGGCTACAGGCAACTGGTGTATAATAATGTTTTTTTTTTTTTTTTTTTTTTTGTATGGTAAAGGACAATGCACATTATGTTATTGATGTAAACTTAGGCTAAAACTTACCATTGATAAACGTGACCTACCTCAAGCAGATCACTTAAAGTGTAATAAAAATAATGTTGCCGCAGGACATAAATGAAGTCCCGCAAGTTTATTTTTAATAATTTAGTTTCAGTACTATTAATTTTTTTCTCAAAACGTCAATAGCACCTTCAATAATCTAAACATTAAAGATGGACCGCAAGATGTGTTGAGTGGCTATGTGGTGAAGAACAATGGCAAAGCTAAGTGTGATTATTGTAATAAACTAATAAGTTATAAAGCAGAGTCCCGACCAACAGGACTAAGCATATGCGGTTGGCTCATTCTTCACGAATATAGAATTAAAATTATGGCGCGTTAGGTACATTGTGCATCCCGCAGGTGCCACCAACAAGGGTTGTGCATTTGAGTTTAACTTTTTGAGCGTTATAAGCAGCTCGTTGTTAGTTTTTATTTAAATATATCGAGCCGAAACTAAGCAGCGCATTCTCTCCGCCTCCTCGTTTATAACCAGCTGGACACGCCACTGAAGCAGGAGAGACACTTCGTCGTTCATAATCTTAGCTGATGTGTCGGAGTCGAAAGAATATATCAAAGAGGAATGTTCTTTTGACAGTCCCGATATGTTCAATCTTTTTTTCCCTGTCATTTCTCTTCAGCAAATTATATTTTTAAAGCTGCTTGATTCTTTTAAAACCGAAAGCAGAGCCCGTCAATTGGTGTTTTTTCATAAGATACTCCTTTATTAATGTTTTATTTTATGAGTGTCTTTAATGTGCTTTTTAATAGTTTTATTTTATTCAAAGCAGCACCTAAAAGCGAATTTATCCTTAAAACGTGGCATGAGAGCGATGCATGTCATGTGTCGCATATTGCCTTTTTTTCTGATCTTTTTGCATAAAGGTTTTAATCAAAAGACAGGTAATTTAATTACTTTCGATGTGCTAAAATATTTGTTAAATAAATGTTATTTCAAAAAAAGCATATGCAATGTGCTCTGACAGGTAAAATCCGATTCTTTCTCTCTTTCAAGTTTAAAGCAAATTTGAATGCCAAAGGATTTTAGATATGCATATACAAGACTATGTAGTATATTAACATCAACAAATTAATAAAATAAGTAGCAAATGAGAAATAAATGACAGACAAGTTCATAAAAACAGACATTATCTCTAATTATCAAAATTGCAAGATTAAAACAGCTGAATATAGGCCTAAATAATCTAGAAAACAACTACTGCGCGCTGATATTTATTCTTCTTTTTTTCCGAATAACGAACAATTTCAACCGCGGGGAGATACCGACAGCTTGATTTGCAGTATTTTCTAACATGTTAGAAGCGGGCAGCGGACATCAGCCAGCCGTAGAGACGGGCCGGCACAAAAAAAAACATGGCTGCCGGTGGAGAAGCGGCTGTGCCCTCAGCAGCTGATTGAGACGGAGCTGCATATCCTGAGTGCACTAAATACTCCGAGATCCGGGAGAAATTCTACCCGATAATCCAACACATACAAAACAACTTTGAGTCCCTGTCGAACAGAACCCATCTTACTGGGGGAGTGTGTGTGCTGCTGTGTGTTCACCCAACAATACCCGCTCCTGTCTTCAACACACAAATACTGGAACTCTTTATGTGGACTTACTTTTGATAATAGGCTACTATTAATACCTTTATCCTGTTTAATGTTATCAAAAATCTATTTTTATTTTTATTATTATATTTTTATTTTTTATTCTATTTTTATTTTTATTAATCATTTTTTATTATATGTTATTTTCATATTTGTTTGCACTACTGCCCTTTTTGCACTGTCTTGTTTGTGAGACGCGCACTGCTTTGTCAAAACGAATGTACAGTTACTTGTCATGCCAATAAAGCACCTCAAATGTGAAAATAGCCTAGGCAACAAATAAATAGTAGTCTAATAATAACAAAAAATGCCCTTTTCATTTTCATACAATAGGCCCATGTGTGGGTTTTGACAATATGTGTTTAATTAAGCTATAAAGATCAGATGAAATGCATAGTGAAATATGAAATAAATGTCTCTTTCTATTTATTATTTTAAAAATCAACTCATTTTTGCCCAGAGAAAGAGGCGCGCGGCACTAGCGGACATGGGGTGCTTTTCCAAAAAAAGACGTACAGTAACTTGCAGCTGAACTATGCACAGTTTGGGGAAAAAAAAGGATATAGTGATGCATGTCCCCTAAAACCCCTAGTTTCTCTGTCGCAGATCCATCATTTGAATCAGGTTAGTTATAAGTAAAACGCACATAATGATAAAGCACACCATCATCACGAGGGCAATTAAATAGACAACCTAAACATATTTTTAATTGTTTATTTATGTAATGTGAGTTTTTATAACTTTGTTCTTTAAATTATTTATAACTTAGGCTATTCTATCGAGATGACACCATAAAAGGCCTTCAATGCACTGAAATAGGTAATAGGGATACAATGAAAAGCCGATTTCACTATTGACCCTGTTTTTATTCATTGACGGCTTCCCAACGCCGCATTTCTGTTGCGCGAAAAAAAGCTGCTTCAAATAAGCAAATTTATGACAAAACAATTTTAATAGTTTCATAGTAGTAGCTGGTGTGCTTCATCTGCGTGATTCTGATTTGACATTCTTCCGCTAAACTTGCACTGTGATGATGTGTAAATGGGCTATGATCTTTGCTATTGAGGCTACATCAAGGTGTAAATGAGCTATAGTTCTCTTTGCAACTTTCAATTTCGAGGTGGGGGAAGTGGGAAGAGGCAATTCAAATGTACCATCTCTAAAAAAAAGGCCACTTACATTACATTTGTGTTTATTATTACCTTATTTTTATTTTATTATTAATAATTTATTCATTCATTCTTCATTCATTTTCTTTTCGGTTTAGTCCCTTTATTAGTCTGTGATCGCCACAGCGGAATGAACCGTCAACTTATCCAGCATATGTTTTACGCAGTGGATGGCAGGAGGGCCAGCTGGGGCTTTGGGACGGAGTGAAAGGAAAGGCGGAATTTG